TAAAGTTATTATAATAATTTAATATTTAAAAAATTATATATATTTACGTAACAGCAAAATTTGATCTGAAACATTTTGATATAATATATTAACAGCAACTGGTTTCTGATTTACATCATTTACACTATTAAAATATTAAGAAATTTTAAAAAACCCATCTTAAATGACATGCGGTTTAGGAAACTTAATGACCAGACACAAAGTGCACTTAAAATCGCTGCAATATCCATGATGTGGCTTAATTCGATCGCCCCACCCTAGCCTGAACTAATCAATCTAAATCTATAATGCACTGTAGCGCGAACGGATGACACAGTAGCTTATGACATGAAAACTCTTCTTTGGTGCATCACACACAGCAAAAAGCACCTCACGCCAACCACAGCGGAACTAGTTTTGTTTATATTTCCACCAGCGTTAAACATCTGTTCACGGTTCCGGACCAGAGTTCTGCTGTGTAACATGAGGCTAATAGAACATCACTCACACAAACACACACACACCCCGTTTAATACTACACCAGTGGGGTCACACTGACGGTGTACAAGCATGCCAAACCGTGTGCCTGCCCTCCGCACACTCATTAGGCCAGCTCTGCAATGCCATGTCAACAGATGGTGCTTATAAACAGCAGAGCTCAGAAAGAACGTAAAAAACCCAAATAAACAAGTGAAAATAACTTTAACAAGGACGAGGACACAAATGCTCTCTTTAGATGCAGATTCAACGTGTTAATTGGCTTCGAACTTCGATTCTCTGCACCAAACGAAACGATTCGACCATCAGTCATATGGACGCTATTTCACACTTTCGATGACTCACGCTTTCAGAAATCTGCTAATTAGACAACGTTCCCGCAGGACTTGAAGTCTTATGCGAGTCAACATCGCTTCGGCTCGATTCTGATGTCCACTGACTTTGCACAAGTGCTTAAATTTAGCGCGCCTGTTGCAACTGGACAGTAGCATACTGGTTGTCTATAGGACCGCTCGCTTAATACCCCACTGACAACAGCAGTGAGAGACAGCTGCGTTGACAGAGTGCTAATTAACCTTATAAGACCATTCAGAGAAAGCAGAGCATGTGGGAGGAAGCTCAGTTAGATCTGTGGCCGTAACCTCGCTGTGAGCTCCAACAACGATCTGCGCACTCATTAAATTTCATACAAACCTCCACAGACAGACATTCACTAGATACTAGGGCTGTCAAAAAAAAAAATCCACATTCGAATGCAAAAACGTTGAATTCGAATTTTAGTAGGGGTGCTCCGATTGATCGGCTACCAATCACTATCGGCCGATAATTACGTTGGGATGTTTGATCGGCGGTCTCTAAAAAGGCAGATCTCAAAAAAACGATCTCAAGCTGATGACGCGCCTGCCGTGAGAGGTTTGGCACGACATGCAGCGGCACCGTCTCAGTCTCTGTCCGGCGCGGGTGAAATAATTATAATGCTGAAGGTAGGCCTGGGCGATAAAACGGTATCGATATTTATCGACGGTACAACTTCATCTATAACAATATAAAAAATGTTCGATATAGCACACGATATAGGCACGTACTATGAGTGATGTAGACAGCTCACACAAACACGAACACATGCTGAATTGAGTGCTGTGCCTGCCTGTGATGAGGAGATTGTGAATAAAAACATTAATATTAGTCAAATTTAAAATAAACATTTCCTGGGCAATAAAACGGTATCGATATTTATCGACGGTACAACTTCATCTATAACGATATAAAAAATGTTCGATATAGCACACGATATAGGCACGTACTATGAGTGATGTAGACAGCTCACACAAACACGAACACATGCTGAATTGAGTGCTGTGCCTGCCTGTGATGAGGAGATTGTGAATTGATTAGGATAAAAACTAAACCAAGCCATTCACACAGAAAGCATATTCAGCATATTTTTAGACGGACAAATATGACTACTGCACTCGCGTCTCATGCAAGAGATGCAAAGAAAGTCATGCAAAGTTAAAACAGTTTTAACGTTTAGAAAACGCGACGCGAATTTGTGAAGCTTTCACACATGAGTCCACTACTGATCCGTGGCTGTTTACCACAAACACAACATTTATCCATTATTTTGATTTCAAATCCAAACATTGTCACTGAAAATGCTTTTTCAGGACTGCAATTCTTTTTTTTTTTACACAGTACAGTAATACAATCTTTCAAAGACATGTTTAAACACAATAAACATAAGCAACACATTATTCAATGCTTTTTACTTTTGCATTTACTTCTAGATTTATATATTAAGTTGCTCAAGCAAGTGGCAAAACATTTAAACTACTTTTCTTACGTTATCACAAACTTGCCATTGACAGAAATAGTCAGCTCTACTGCCTTTCCTTTTGCATTGAAATCTTTATTACAAGCAATCCTGTGGTTCATGTGTGAACGGCTTACGTCACTTCCTAGTACACACTGTCGGTGAGAATGAAACCCTTTAAATAGTACTGGGAAATAGTTTGCGCAAAATCGTCCCAGTACTTTAGTACTGTACATTTAGTTCTGGAACTAAGGCCCTAATGACTGAGATACAGCAATTAGGAAAACTTCTTACAGACATTTAGTTCTGGAACTAAAGCGGTGCGAAAGGCCCTATTATTTGCTATCTTTGTTTTGTTTTTTGAGCTCGGCCCAGTGCATTGTGGGATTGACTTCTTTAAGAAGGATCCCTGTTGCGCTGCCTTATAACTTGGCCAAAGTAAAATTTTAAAAAGATGCTGCTTATCCTCTGGAACAGCTTTTGTGACTATGATGTTTTACAATGCTGTCTATCTAGGGATCTTACTAGGTTTCAGAACACAGCTATTAACTTGTCAACCAATAACAGAGTAAACCAACAACATTAGCCCTTCTAGACACACTCACAACATCTACATTAGCACATCACGGTGGTCCGTATTGATTCCTGGCTGCCGATAAGCATCAGCGTTTCTCCATCAGCTCGCTGGGTGTTTTCGGCATCAGCACAATGCGTAAGGTGCTTCCTGCCTCGCCAGCACCCACAACCTCTCTCAAGGGATCGCGGGCCAAATTCAGTGAAATATTTAGAGCGTGCAGTGTGCCCTACCAAAAATAGACATGAAACACTGTCTTTGTTCTGTAAAACTGCACATGTGCATCATATTTGAATGAAGTAACATGCATGTTACTTTCACTGCATCTGACCCAGAGAGTACAGCATGTTTCAAAAAGGAAACACCAAGCAAGCCAGCTGTGAGTCACAGCTTTTTGTATGCGACGCGCTTCACTTCGCACTGAAACAACAGAAGAAGTGCATGGCGCGCGTAAAAGGAACACCCAAATATGAAGAATTTGCCATTATTATTTCATACCCGTGTTGTTCCACACCCACAGGCTGTTATTTTTTCTGTGGAACACAAAAGGAGATTCACACAGCTCTTTTCCACATGGTTCACAGTGACCATATGAACCAAACAGGCTTAAAAAAGCACCATAAAAATAACCCAAATGACTCAACTTAAGTCCTCTGAAGTTACACGTTAGTTTTCAGTGAGGAACAGACCACTATTTAAAGGGATAGTTCACCCAAAAATGAAAATTTTGTCATTAATTAAACTTTATTCAACAATTCGTCTCCTTAGCATCACCCTAGCCCCATTTTGGACAGTATCCACTGAACGTAAATTGCGTATGCTGTTTTGTGTCAGCTGTGCCATGCGTATAAAAATAAAGTTTTTTTTTTTTCTTTCTTTTGCGCACAAAAAGTATTCTCGTAGCTTTGTAAAATTACGGTTGAACCCCTGATGTCACATGGATTATTTTACCGATCTCCTTGCTACGTTTCTGGACCTTGATCGTGTAAGGACCCTTGCTGTCTATGGGAGGGTCAGAGAGCTCTTGGATTTCATCAAAAATATCTTAATTTGTGTTCTGAAGATAAACGAAGGTTTTACGGGTTTGGACCAACATGAGGGTGAGTAAATAATGACAGAATTTTCATTTTTGGGTGAACTATCCCTTTAAGTCACAGATGGCAAATAAAATATGACACAGATTAGCCACCATTGGTTTTTGTGTCATGGTCAAACATCATTGACGTCAAACTATAGGTTTTATTTTTTCCAAATTCCTTTTTTTTTTTTTTTTCCGTTTTATTTTTTGGGGCTCCATTTTTAAAGGGACAGTTCACCAAAAAATGAAAATTCTGTCATCATTTACTCACCCTCCACTTGTTTCAAAAGTTTATGATTTTTTTTCTTCTGTTAAGCACAAAAGAAGATATTTTGAAGAATGTTGGTCTCCAAACAGTTGAAGGTGTTGAAGGTAGCCCATAGTATCTAAAAAATACTATGGAAGTCAATGACCACTAATCTACTATCAACTGTTTCAACTGTTTATGTTTAATGGTTAAATTAAACTTTAGTAATCTAAAACCATCTCTAATTAATTGAAATCATGAAACTTTTACAATTTAACAACAATTTTTTCAAAGTTTAACAATTTAAATTTTTAGGGCCCTATGAATTTTTTTCTCAAATTCTGATTTTTTTTACCAAATTCTGTGTTTCCAATTTTAATTTTTCTGACATTTTTAAATAAATGTCAATAATCAAAATTATTATTCATTTTTATAATAATAGAGCTCTATGAAATGTTCTGTTTTTCAGAAATTCTGTGTTGTGTATTTCAATTTTTATGGTAGTTCCGGAAATCATAGGGTCCTACCTTTTATATCACTCATTTAAAGTCGAAATTTTGATTTGAGATCCGTGATATTTTTCTTATATTACTTGTTTTAAATTTAATATATACAGTCTGCTTGCCGTACAAAGACATTGCATGATTTCGACGTAGCACATAGTACAAACTACTTTTATGGAAATTTCTCATCCCATCTGGAGCTTGACAGATGTGGTCATTACGAACATCACTGTTTGACAAAGAACTGTGTGACAGAGTAAATGACGACAGTTTTCGACTGCTTTAACAAGATAAAACCATGAGCAAACCTGAATCATGTAGAGTTGAGCGATGCGGTACTCCTCCACGCTCATGGGCATGGGGATGCGGTACTCTTTGATCAGCATGTTGGCCGTGGAGCGGGGCTGGGGCTGGAAACGCTCCGCTGGGTCAGGGGCAAATCCACCAGGACGGCCCTTAGCTCGAGTGCATCAGAGAGAAGGAGCCAAGCTCATTTCTCAGACCTGGGCAGAAAACAGAGACAAATCAGACCTGAAAATCATCTACAGACGTCCAGAGGAAAGCTCAAGAGATCAAGTATCCCAGAGACGCCCATCTGAGGGAAGTATACAGAGACGCCAAAAAAATAAAAATAAATACATACAATAAATGTTGTTTCTAAAATTAAAAGATCTAAACATAATCATAAACCGCATACATTCAGCAAGAAAAAAGAAGAAACCTAATTCGAGATATTTGCTCTAAAAACAAGTCTTGTTGAGTAAATTTATCTTGCTTGAAGGATGCTGTGGTATTTTTACAGTAACACTGATACAAAAATACTGATTAATAAAATTACACAAGATAGTTTTTTTTTTTTTTTTAAGGCATGCCCAGCAAAAACACCAAAACAGCAGATCCAAGACTG